CCCCCTACTCCTATTCCCTTCAACTTCCATCTTCAATATAATCATCACCACGTTCATACCTCTACACATTTCATATGACAAATTAAATTAAGACGACTTCTTAAACCCTTGTTTGTATCAAACTCCCCGCCACGCTTGGTCACTTTTTACCCGGAAATTCTATAAACTGTGGCCAGACTACAGTGCGGGGTGCGCCGCCGATGGCTCTCATATGTCCATGTTTTGATGGCATTAGTTCTGGGCCGTTTAGTTTTGACGATGGTAACCAGCTGGTCTGGCAACCCCTTCCTCCACTATAGTGTGTGCCAAGTATCTTAGCCCTCAGAAAATACATTCCGACACACACACGACGGACGTCATTTTGAAGATTTAAATTCCCTTGGAGACGACGGTATTTTACCTGAATATGTAGGAGTAGTAGGTTCTTTAAGGTGTTAAGTTATTGTGCGATGGCTATATATTTTGAAAGGAGGCAAGAATATATATACTGTATCAGCAATCTGGCACATACTTTCCCCCAGCTCTGTCAACAACCCTTATCATAGGCAAGCGGATGGAGTAACTTTAGTATTTTACGGACAAAACCAACAATAGGTGCAATAAATTTTACCCGTAGTTCAGTTTCTACAGCGATGATGGGTTTGTCATTTTGTTTAAAAAAAGAAATAACTTTAACATACTAATTTATATCAAAATCGTTCGAACCATTAAAAAAAACTTTTTATGGGGGTTTTATGGAAAAAGAATCACCACAAAAATCAAAATGGAAAAAAGTTCGGAGATGCTATGGCTATCCACACCCCGAATTACGTAAAAACGCGACCACAGGTGTGTCTAGGACTATTTAAAATATGTGTATTGGAAATTACAATAAATAATGAAAAACTCAAAATGATATATTAATTGTGTAAAATCTATACTGTAAGTTAATACATGCCATCAAGCCATCCGATAGGGGCTAGAGAAACAATCAATACTGTATATATATAACCGTAATTTAATATCATATAATGGTTACAAATTATAGTACACAACTCACAAATTGTAAAGCTGAAATACTGACGATATTTTAAAAGAATCGCTGGAAGATAAAAGTAACTATTCTTCATCGCTTGGACAAGAAATAAAAAATTCCAACATTTTCAAGATTTTAATTTTTAGGTAACTAAAACGATGTGTTTAAAGTTACAGTTCTGAACCTGCTGCATGTTTTAAAGTTGTTTGGGTTGGTTTTAGCCAATTTCCCTAATATCATTCAGTACCGGTACGTGTATTATTGGTCGGTATTATCTATGCCCAATGCATTTAAAGAAGTGTATACCGGTATTATACTTAAATTCATCATTATAATTTGTTTAAACAGTGTCAAATAAACCAGTATTGTAACAAAAAAACATTCGAATGTTATACTTAAAGTAGGTAGTAAAATGATTGAATGATTAATCAAACCATTAGGCCTACTCAACAATTACCTGTTTTATTCAATTGGGTTTTGGTGGGTTTTGGGTATCTAAGAGTGTAGTTCTGACAAATTGTGGTATTACAAAGTGTGTAAGCTGTTTCGGATGTATGATTAAAAATATGTTTTAATCTTTTAAAACATTTTATAGGTACCGTCAGTACAGAATCTTTAAAAACATATATAGGTCTAGATACAGTAATTTGAAACCCCGATTCCGACTTTTAGGCTAAATACATGTTTATTTCTGAGTAACTTGTTTACTAAACGAATTTATTTTGAATCGTAAAAGTTCCTTTTTGTTTCGAGTATATTATACAGTACTTATTTATACTATTTGTGTTACTCTTAGAGTTACACATCTCTATGCAATATTTCTGTACTGTTTGTACTCAACAATGTGGCACCAATAAATCTTGATCTCAAGTCTTATCATTACGTGAAGACACTGTTATAAAGTGTTTATTCATGAATTAAAACACGTCAACTACAATAGAGTATTAGCATAGATGAAGTAATATTATTTATTAGTAAGTAAAATGGAGGCGAGCTCAGACGCAAAGCGAAAGCGTCGACACTTCTCGTCATGCTTTGGTGAACAACAGATTAGTACAAGAGGGAGGGAAGATTGAGTGGTGGGGGTAGTGGGCGTGGTCTAGCGTCATGGACCAATGAGGCTGCAACAGTATCGGTGGATGTGTTTGGTGTTGATATATCGAACTGTCTATATCGAATACCCACCCGATATATTGTCCGATGCGATATGAAGTGGTTTGAACTTTTTGTTTAATTCTACCTGATCGCCTTAAATGTTTAATGTACTATTGAAATACATTTAGTTATATTTATGGTGTTCTTCAAAGATATGTGTTGGGATCCAATATTATTTATGTGACTTGTACAAGAATTTGTTTTGCGATCCTAGATCTTTGGCATCGAGAAATCGTATCTACAATACATTGTTTTGACCTCAGTCAGACTTGTTAAGATGTAAATCATCTATCTAAAAATATTTGAGCTTTTCAGTAATTACCCGACAGAGTATTTAGTAAAAGTAAAATATAAAACCATGGAGGTAGGCTCCTAATTTATATTTTGTTATTTGAACGCTAAAAAACACTCGTTACATGGTAGTTACAATAATGATACTATAAGTACCCTCCCATAAATTTTTTAATGAATTTTTTTCAACATTTGACAAACTACGGGTTATCATAATCTTAACCCAATTAGGAAATATCGATAAAATAATTTATCTAGCCCCCTCTCCTCCCCAAAAAATACTATTTAGATTTTCCTGAGTACAAAACCGACTATCGAACAATCCAATCGATATATCTACCGAATACTCGACTACTCGGCGAGCTGTCACTATCAGACCAGATGAATGACGGTATCAGTGTGGTGCGGACGGTGACGATAAGGACTACGTTATGCCCGGGTACCAGGACGACGACGGTGGGTGCGGGAGTGGCCTAGGGGCGCGGGACAAGCCCATGGTGACCATCACGGCGTCGGCGGCGGCGAGCGTCGCGGCGGCGGCCAAGGCTGTGATAGCACGACCGGCGTCCCCAGACAATGTACAGATCAACGAGGCTGTCAGCAAAGTACTCCAGGGCTACGACTGGACACTGGTCCCCATAGCTTCCAAGTAAGTAGAAAACATTTTATATCCATCTTCAATAAGAATTATTAATCTTGGTGTGCACGGTTCCATTGGGCACCACTGGGACTGAGATATTTCCTAAGTTGATTAAACAAGAAAACAGAAAGCTTATTTATACGTTGTAAAAATCCAAAGTATAGGTACACTCAGGGCAGCTTTTATACGCGTTTTCAGTGACACAGGTTTTGGGTTTGTTTGGGGCGCAAAGGAGAAAAAATCCCCCATAATTTGGGTAGAGAGGGGTACAATTATCTCTACAGCCAGACGAATCCCGTGCAAATCAAAGGCCTGGGGTATAGATAAATTTCCTTATCTATAAGAGTTTAGAAGTTTACGTTCCTCTTGGACGAAAAGGATTATTTCCCAAAAACTGTTAGAAACGAACTGGATAAAATACTTTCATTTATTTAAGGTGATCAAATTTGTCGTTAAGTAATTAAACGAATTGTTATAGAAACGAAAGGTACTTGGCTGGGTTTTGGCTAGTAGAATGTAGAACACAATTTCAAATAATTAGTTAACCGAGCTACTGTCAATCGTCTTAAACAAACTGTGATTATTTTCAGTATTTTTTGTAAATCCTAGTTTGGACATTAATTAATCATGCGCAAATATACTATTGACAATGAGACAACCACTATGCCAACGTGTCATCGTGAACAGTAATTCGAGTGGTTCAAATTTCAGTTCTTTGTATCAGTGTTAATAATATTTTTTAGTTCTGGTTCTGAGAAAAAGAAGTACTCATGCAAACCGCATTATAACAAATTTATGTACATTTTAAAATGAATCTTTTTATATTGATTTGAATTTCCAGACCAATCCCGTACGAGATGTTGGCTGTCTAATAAAATAACATTTCCTTACTGCCAATCTTTATTAGTTATCAAATTAATTTATTATACAAGTATATTATAGTAACAATAGCATGTTAATTTAATACCTAGCAATAAAATTAAATTCCCGTGAAAAGCTACGGTACCTTTCTGTTCCACTTTATGTAAAGTAGTTTGTACTGTAGTTTGTAGTTTGTAGTTAGGCCCTTAATAAGATATATCGGCTTTATCTATTTATTTATCAACGGCTAATCACAGTACTAATTTTAACGTAGATTAAAGATTATGGAGATGTGATTTCCAATGGACATTTTGTGTTTATTTATTTATAAATAACTTCTTGGTCAGCATCGTAGGTGTTGTTAAATTATCTGAAAGCACAAAATACGTCAAATAACACTTATGATAATATATTTACACTTATAGGCCTACTGTTTACTCACGAGCCGGTAAATACATAAAATATATGTATGATTCACCTATTGGGTTGATGATGATTTCAGTGTCCAATCAACATCGATCACCACTTACAATCTTTTATATGTATTTGCATGTGAGAAAAACAATTTAAGTGTAAATATATTATTATAAGTGTTATTTGACGTATTTTTTGTGCTTTCAAATAATGAATCGTTAAAAGTACTGGGCCGTTAATTCTTCACATACCCAACCACACCGTTTAATACCGTTTACACGTTTAATACCTCCTCCCCCTAAAAAATAGTAATACAATCAAACTATACCGTGTATCTTGTATGAAAGGCAACGAAGTATTTGATTGATTGGCTAATTATAAACTTCGTATTCAGCTTATCTAGTAGTTAATATTATATAGTCCACGCCTAGACCAGTCTTGCACACTAGATGATCTTTTACAAGCAATTGACAAAGCCATATCGGTAGCTAATTTTTGGAAAAGCTAAGTCTGATTTCCGAACACGGAAAGTAAGTAAGTAACTCGTGGTGTCTCCATAATTTCAAAATAGTAATTAATTAGTTTTACTGAACCGATTACAAATCAAACAGTTTATATTAGGCTATAGCAGTTTTGTTTACATGCAAAATCTACTTTTAGAGGATGTTTAGTAAATTTTACCTTAATTACTAAATTTTACCTTAATTCACTATATACACGGTTCTAAAATTTTTTGGAACAAAGTTTCATTTTTTAGTACCGGACAGATACAATTTTTGTCTATGTAATAGCATAGACAAATTTGTCTATGGTAATAGTCTCTTTAGGAGAATGCTGCCGGAAAGTAAATAAAAAAAACACGTCTTATAAAAATACGTGTTATAACACTTAAAACATATATTTACACGAATATGTTGTTATAGCCTACTTACTTTCCGTAAATTTAATGACAAGTACAATGCTGATAAAGAAATTGTCTAGAGAATGCTTCTACACACTAGGCTGTTTTCAATAATAAAAACATTGTAAATATATAAAATTTCAGGCTTTTGGCGATTACTTAATACTTATCCCACAGCCACAGCATATAAAATAAGCAATCAATTTGATTAACACTTTAATAAACCGAGAACGAAACGTCTCATCACAATTTCCACGGTCACACTTTTACGCCAAGCCGTCTTTTGTACAATAATCATCTATCTTGGCTACGTATCATGCGTGTAAAATTCGTGTAAAATCGCAGATTAATTAAATGTTTACACGAAATAAATGGACGTTTTCATCCCGAAGTTAAAATATTTTTGTATTTATTTAACATATTAAATTATAATTTTTATCAATATAATATTTTTTGTGACTTTTGAGTAAAGGCGGAGTTGTTATTTAATCATCACCACGTTATGGGAAATAAGTATACTATTGTAGTTAGTTTGCCTAAGGATGTATTTTTATAAAATTTCCCGAATTTATTCATTTTTATACTATTACTGTATTTCAATAAAAAAGCACATTTTCCTTCAATAATATGATGACCAACCGTTAAATCTCATGTAATTCAAAGTGAAAATAAATCTAACACGTTTAAGGGAATATTTCAATGGAAATCCAGCAAGATAAAAGGCTATTTGCTTCGTCAGCAGATTTGCTGCGGTGGGAGTATTTAACTGTAGATTAAGCATACTACTGCGCCGATACTTTGCCACATCGTCAAGCCCGGAGCCTGAGGACGCTCCCCTATCACCCTCAAACAAACCACGTTATCACTGACAGACCGGTGATAAGACAGGGGTGGTACTATCACCACTTGGCTATCTACGTGTAAACAAATCACGGGAATCCTCCAAATGTAGAGAATAATAGCATAGATAAAACATACTTATACTCCCTTAGTAGATTAGTCATCCTAATGGAACAGCTGAAGCCAATTTTATTGTTAGTTATGTACGTCCAACTATAGAGGTTATGTTTTGTTTACAATTTGTTTCTTGTTATTGCAGTCATTTAAAACATCGTTCAACCTAATAAAACGATATAATCATAAACAATAACTGGTCTCCTAGTTATATAACCAAATAGTAAAGCACAAATCATGAAAATAACCCTAAAATAATAGAAACAAAATGTTGTCTACACTAGCGATCAGTGTGGACGTACATGAACTAGACGCAAAAAACAAGCTTCAAAATTTACAATGGGATGAGGAGTCTACTTGTGTTGCTTAGGGCTTGTGTTGCTTAGTCTATGATAATAGGGAGTTAAGCTCAGTTACTTTGTGTTAGTTAGTTTACAACAGTTATTGAGCAGAGCGAGCTACGTCGACTCTTGCATTTCGTCACACGCAAACTCCTAGGCTAATGAAGCAATCGTTTTCAAATATGGCATTCAAAATTCTCCCAGGAATCCACCCCACGAGGTCTTAAAGTGTACTTATGTACTTATGGAAACAGTACTTGACTCATAAAAGGCAAAGGCAACAGATCAGCTGTTGACTGAATTGCAGTACATTGGTTAACAGCTGATAAAATTATTGTAACTATATTGGAAATCAGAAACATATGGATCATAAACATAAACAAAAAATTGTTACTCGAACCTTATACGAATAACATTCACGTATGGTTTGTACGTTTTTGACAGTTTAATTTAATAATAAAAACATATTTACTTTTGGACAGAGTTTGACTGCACTCAGGGGTGGCTCCCGGACGGCTAAAAATCGGGTAGTGTGAAAGCGCTCATATGGTCCACTGGACTGTTAAGCCGGGTTTACACGATGCCAGTTGGCGAGACAATTGCCAGGAGACAACTGACTGGCTTGGAATTACTGGCTTCGTGTAAACACTTCAGACCAATTGGCCCGCCAACTGTCCCGAAATTCAGTTGTTAGTACGATTTTTACTCGTCCGGGAGTCGGACTCTGCACTGGCACCATCCGGGCGCTACCCGAAGGATAATCGGGCTCGGTTTGTAATCGTGTAAGAAAGGGACCATAAATACCAATGGTCGACTAAACATTTTGGCTCGGCCGATTTTAACTCGACCGAGCGAAATCGGATTGTGTAAAAGGAGCGTTAACGGTAAATAAGGAAAAATACTCTACAAAAGCAATATCAGTATATTCAAGAAAAAATACTGCTATATTTCCTAATTAAAACACACAACAAACAAATTATTGTTATGATGCATAATGTTGTTCAATCATTCATGTTTGTGCTTGTAGCCAGTTTAACCTTAAATTAACCGTTGTGTATTACAACCACATCGTAAAACAATACGATTGTCCTTGGCTTGGCTTATCCGTAGACCTAAACAAAGTGACATTCGACCAGCTGTTTACATATAACAGCTGATCTATAGGGCCGGTCAGCTGATTTAATCACGCATGTTGGACATTATTTACTGATCGTTTGTTTGTTATGTTTCTTGGGTCAACGGACATACGGTGTGAGGCATAAGCGGTGGAATATGTTTTATTTTGGATTTTATTAATCGGAACGTAGTAATCACCTATAAGTATATGCAGGATTCGCATACTTTCTGTTTAGTTGAAGCCACTATGGGTTGAGGATGTTTCGAACAACCATCGATGTACTGTCTAACATACATCGATAGTAAGATTACTGTTACTGTACATCGATGGTTTTAACTCCATCTTCAATCTTTGTTCGGGACATTTCTAATTATGAATATTCTTGTCATACTTCTAGTTACTTAACTAAGGGGTTTTATAT